CTCTCTCTCTCTGTGTCACTGGCCAGGTCAATGGGGCCTGGAAGGAAGGGTTATCATGTGGGGTGTGTGTGTGTGTGTAGTGTGTGGTGAGCCTGGCTGCGTGGGAGGCTAATGCTGAAGGATTGCAGGTCCAAGGCCAGCCTGGACAACTTAAGGAGACCCTGTCTCTAAAATGAAAAAGCAAGAAAAAGTGCTGCATTCTTATAAGGATATAGTAAAAGAGCAATGGTATTATCAGGTTATTGCCAATTTAGGAAGGCTGTCCCCTTTTTAGGCAGTTACGGGGCGCGGAGGATTAATGTTTGTCCAATAGGAGGTGTGTTTATAATAATCACTTTTGGAGAAAGCACCTAGGACACTTTAATATATCCCTTTCTTTGCAACAGGTTACTGGATACTTGGATGATTGTACCTGTGATGTTGAAACCATCGATAGATTTAATAACTACAAACTTTTTCCAAGACTACAAAAACTTCTTGAAAGTGACTACTTTAGATATTATAAGGTATTTTAAATTTCATATATGAATTCTTCAAATGGATAATTACACTTTCTTAAGAATTGCTAAGCTTCAAAACTGATCATTTGTTTCTGAAGCCACACACTGGGTGCATTTAGTTTCAGTAACAGTATCGCACTGCAGTTAAAATCTAGCTGGCTGGTGCAGTAGATACTATGACAGGGAAGGCATCTGTTCAATGGGAAGAGAAACTGGGATGAGGAAAAGGACAAAAGAAGGGAAAAAGGTAGACTCATGCAAATATGCAGGATAGTTTGAATAATTGTACTGCTGATTTCTGCTAGTCTATTGAAATGAGCAGTTAATGCTGAAATCTTTTCTTTTTTTTTTCTAATTTCTTACAACTTTTTTTTCTTACCAATTTTGCAGGTTTATATTTGGTGTAACCTAAATAGCTAATTTGAAGATAACATTATACAATAAAGCAACCATTGTCGAATTCTTATTTTTTTAAATGAAATTTTGTATCATTTCTAAGGTTTTTTTACTATTTTGTATATAAAAAAAAATCTAACTGGCTAACTTGAAATTACAGCAGAAACTATTATAATCAAAATAGTGAACTCATAAATTTCTCATATCAGATTGGCTCACATTAATTGAAATAATTAAAATTTTTAAGAAGCATAGCTATTCTGACCTATATTATTTTGATAAGTCCCTTGTAGTAGTTTATCTTGCAATGAGTGCTGGAAAGTCTGACTGTGGGAGTACTTGTCTGTGTTCTGAGTTCAGGCTTCCTAACTGGACTCTCTGTGTAGCTGTTTCTTGCCTCAAAGATGCAAACTGAGCAGTGATGATTCAGATCGCTTCGGCTGTCAGCGACCCCGTGCAGGGTCTGCTTAGTGGCAGTCTTCGTTTTTCTGACAAAGTCTGCCAGTTCCCCTGTACCAGCTACATAGTTACACAGTATGACCAGTGAGCCCTGGCAGCAGAAGAGGGGGCGCGTTTGCAGCCTGTATCATGACCAGCTCGTAGCCTCATCATTCAGCAACTCTCCGTTACGTTCTTGGGATAACCAGGCACGAGGAGCTAGATAGCGAGTCCAGGGCCAACTGGGACTGCACTGTGAAACCCTCTCTCAAAACCCAACAAAGTAAAGTGTTTATGTTTATCACTTTTTCCTGTTTCTTTTAATAGGTAAACCTGAAGAGGCCGTGTCCTTTCTGGAATGATACCAGCCAGTGTGGAATAAGGGACTGTGCTGTCAAACCTTGTCAATCTGTAAGAACTGTGAATAACTTTAAGAACTTTTGTTTCTTTTTCTACCCATTACTACTTGTTTTGGTAGTATGGGAGGGTTGAAGCCAGGGCTTTGCACTGAACTATATCCCCAATCTTGTACATTAATTAGTTATGTGGAGTTCCTTTTCAATTAAATTTTTTTCATATTAGTTATACAGATTAATTAGTTTCATTTTGGCAGATTTGTGCACGTGTATACATATATTAATCACCTCCTTCCCTCCAGTCTCACATTTTTTTGGGGGTTCAGTGTGTCTAAGATATTTTAATACTATGCATGCCTCCATTAGCTGTTCTCATACCCCTATCCTGTCCCCAATCTTCCCATCCTCTTATTTAATAATAGTCTCCCTTTGACTTTGTCATGTTTTTTTGAGTCTACATATTAGGGAAAACATGCAGTATTGGCCTTTCTGAGCCAGGCTTATTTTACTCAACATGATAATCACCACATCCGTTTTTCTGCAGATGACAAAATTTTTTTTTTTTAATGGCTGAATACTGCACACACAGACACGGACACACACACACACACACACACACACGCATGCACGCACCCCACATTTTCTTTATTCATTGATCTATTGATGAATACCCAGGCTGGTTCCGTGTCTTGGCCATGGTGTGATGTGCTGCAGTAGACCTATTGGTGTGCTGACTTGAATTCCTTTGGGTGTAGCTGTGTCAAGTGGTAGTTCTGTTTTAGTTTTTGAGGAACTTCCGTATTGATTTCCATAGTGGCTGCACTAATTTACATTTTCAACAAAAGTATCCCTTTATATGATGTTCTTGCCAGCATACACTGTTTTTTGTGTTCTTTATGATGGCCATTCTGAACAGGAGACGACAGAATTTCTCTTATTTTTTTATTTTGAGACAAAGTCTTGCAAAGTTATCCAGTCTGGGTTCAAACTTGTGGTCCTCCAGTCTTAGCCTCCCCAGTGCTGGGATGACAGCTAGGTCTACCACGTCTGGTTCATTACAACTTTTTAAAGCGAGCCGATATAACCAACTAATAATTCAATCCTTAGTTTAAATGTGTTTTTCCATATTTCTGTTTACATATTACAAACCAAAACTTACAAACTATAAACCTATTTTAAATTATACTGCCTTCATAATAATAGGATTATAATTTTGCGGTTTATGTAACCCTTTGATTTTTGCCTTGATATTTGTTTTCTTATATTTTATATGAACAAAGTCATGTGTATGTATGTGAATCCCTTTCATTAATTTCCTTGGATTTTCTGGGGTAGGAGTTGGGCAGGGATAAAACAAATACCTGGTTTTTCTTAGGAATTTCTGTTTCTATTTTTTTTACTTGGGAATTTTTAGAGTACTAGAATTTGAACTTTTTCTGTGAGTTTTTTACTTCTTTTTTTTCATTTTTACTTTTTTATTTATTTATTTTTTTTTCATTTTTACTTTTTAAAAAATGTATCTTAGTATAGGGACTACAGGGTCTTGGTATACAGATTAGATTCATAGTGATCCTCCTGTTTTCAGCCTCCTAAGAGCTGGGACTACAGGCCTTTGCCACCATGCCCAGCCATCTCATCCCCCCCTCCCCCGGGGGGGCGGTGCTGGATTGAACCCCGCAGGTGCTTTAGACCCTGAGCTATTTGGCCAGCCCTAATTCTTTCAAATGAATTCATTTTTTCTCCCTTGAATCTGTATGGGGTGAAGATGGACCTCAGCAGTTGAGTGCGTGTCTAGCATACCTGAGGCCCAGGTGACTCCCCGCAGTGAAAACAAACTATAACTTTTTCTTTTATATGACTTCTTTTGTGGCCAAGATGTATGTCATAAAATTGACCATTCTAACCATTTTAAGTGTACAATTCAGTGGCATCAGGTACATTCATAGTGTATGATGACCACCACCCATCTCCAAAATGTTTTCGTTCTTTCAGATTGAAACTGTGCCACTTAGACCCTAAATCCCCAATTCTCCCTCCTCCAATGCCTGGCAGACACCATTTTTTCCTCTTTATTTTAATTATACTAGGCACTCCCTGTAGTGGGAACCATACAGTATCTGTCCTTTTGCATCTGGTTTTATTTCTTGATGCATTTTATGGTATGAATAAGAATTTTCCTCTATTTTAGTAAATAAAGGCTGAGCTATAACACTTCATTGTTTTTACTAAGTTCTTTTACCCATTTATCCGTTGAGGGACTTCTAGTGTTTGACTATTTTGAATCATGCATCTATAAGCATGGGTCTACAATGCCTGTTCAGGTTTCTACTTTCAGTTTTGGGGGGTGTTGACCCTAGATTCTTTTTTTTTTTTTTGGTCTTTGAGGCAGGGTCTCACTATGCAGTTCAGGATAGCCTTGAGCTTACTTTGTAACCCAGGCTGGTCGTGGGCTTGCAATGATCCTCCTGCCTCAGTCTCCCGAGTGCTGGGGTTACAGGCCTGCACCACCGCAGCCATCTAGGTTCTCCAGCATGCTGAGCTGTGCTTTCCCACCAGGCCTCTCACATCTTTGTGTGAGTACCCAGAAGTGGGACTGCTGGCTCGCAGGGCAGTGCTGTGCCTTTCTGCGTTTGTATTGGCAGCACACAAGAGTTCTACTTTCTTTATATGTCGAGAACACTTTGTTTCTGTTTTGTGGATGATGGCCATTTTAGCACATGTGAAGCAGTATTGTGGTTTTCAGCAGTTTATTTTTATACAAGTAAATACTGTTACATAGACATCTAGCATGTGGGAGTGAAGGTCAATGTGAAATATTTGTGAATGTTTTATAAGAAGAAGCATATTTTTAGTTACATTAATCTTCATAGACACAACTCTGAAAATTTAAGTATCAAATAATAAAGCACCTTCTATTTCTATATTGGTTTGCTTCTGAAGCAGAGTACCTATGATAATCAACTTGTAAGGAGGAAAGGTTCATCTTGGCTCACGGTTTTGGCGGTTCCAGGCTGTGACTGATGGCTCCTGTTGCCTTGGGTCTGTGGTGAGGTGGCGCATCTGGTACGAACTTGTGGCAAAGTAGAATCTCTCACTAATGGGCAGGAAGCCAAAGAGAGGAATTGGAAAGGTCTAGGCTTATACTGTCCCCTTCTAAGACATGCCCCCATTGAGTTGAAGACCTCCCTCTAACCCTACCTTTTAAAGGTGCCAGCCCTTCCCAGCAGTGCTGTCGGGACCTCCACAAGCCAGACCATAGCAGTTATAATTATTAAAGCCTGAGCATATCATTAGAGCAATGTTATCAGTTTCAGTGATCATGTCATAAGTTCTTGCATTTTTATTTTATTTATTTATTTATTTATTTATTTATTTTTTTGTATTTTAAGGAAGGGCCTACAGGGTGTTCTGAGTCTCACTACTAGGTCGGATGCGTAGTGATCCGCCTGTTTACAGCCTCCCAAGAGCTGGGATTACAGGTGCGCACCACCACGCCCAGTCTCAATTGCCCTCAGCTCGTACCAGGGGCAAGGCCGGCATGGTAGGCCCAGGGGTCGAACCCCCAGCTCCTGTACCAGCCTGCAAGTGCTTTAATCTGCTGAGCTATTTGGCTGGCCCAGCGCCTATATTTTAGAAACTGGCAAATTTAGTTGGGGAAATTTAAGTTTATCATTATTATTTATTTGTTTATTTTTAAATTTTTTATTCATTTTAATGAGAAAAGATAAAATAGCAATGAACCAGTTTCAAAACCATTATTATTTATGTGACTTATTAAAGTTGTGAATCTGGGGCCGGATCAATAGCTCAGTGGCGCAGGTGTCTGCCTGGCAAATACTAGGTCCTGAGTTTGATCAAAAGTTGTGAAACTGAGACAGGATTTCATTACTTAGCTTGCACAGACCGGGGCTGAGTGCCTTTTATGGCAGGGCTCTTCTTTTCATAATGGCGAGAAGGCTTTTTATATTTTTTAACAAGATAGTTGGAAGATGTTCTCCTTGAAAATATTCTTAGTTTATAAGTGTATAAAGTTGGCATTGAAGTTTTAGTAGGTACCTGGCAGAATGATGGAGAATGAGAGTAAAGATGAGATGGAGGAGAGGCTGGTAAAGTGACACCAGTTAGCATCTGAATGTCATTTGGTTCAATAATGAGTATTTCTTGGACACACAAGCTTAGCTCTGGTCTTTACTTGTGGCTTGGTGGAGAAGAGAAGAACTGATCATTCAGAGATGTGGTAGCCCACTGCAGCTTCCAGGCATGCTGAGGAGTACACGCTGGGCGCAGAGGAGGGAGCCTAGAGAACTCCACTCCCAGGGAGAGTGAGGGGACTGCCATGGCTACTCCTCTTGGGACAAGCCTGGGCTCACTTCAGATAGTTCTGACTTGGGAGGGGTATTGGAACCAGAGAGTGATTAAAGATCAGTTCAAGTACTTTGAAATTCTTACAGTTGATCAGGTTTTATATTTAGTGTTTGTATTATATGTTACTGATATCTTGAGAGGCTGCTGAGTTTTTTTTTTTTTCTTCGCTGAGTTTTCTTCAGCGTGCATCTAACAGAAAGGACAGTGCTTCATGGTCACATGAAGGACAGGGTCTACAAGGTCTTATTACATAGATCAGACTCCGTAGCGATCCTCCTGTTTTCAGCCATTATCTCAGCTAAAACAATGAATGGTTCCCTTAGTCTCGTACTCTCAGTTAACTCTACTCAGATGGTCTGTTGCTGCTTCGGCAATTCCTTTTTGGGCTGAACAAGAAGGAAGAAGACCAGTTCCCTTTGGGCCAACACTTGGATTTCTTGTTTTAGTTCATATACCCTACAACCCAGCAGGAAGTAGAAAAATAATAGTTTGAAATTCTTATCTTAATATTTGATATTCTGAAAACCATATCCCTTGTTGGACACTCTGATTCCAGGGAAAATTTGAATGAATTAGATGGTTTGCCCTTCAAGGCTGGATCTTTTCTAAAAGGCTATTTATTCCCTTAATGTAATTTATCAAAATAAGATTATTTTACCTTCTTTCATTATTGGTTGGCTAATGTGGCTTAACAATATTGTGTCAGTCTGGGAATAAAAATGAACACTCTGGTGGCTGAGTCTTTTTGGTGATAAGTTTGGCAAATGCATCAACAAAATTAAAAGCACATAGACCCTTTGACCTATCTATTCTACTAGGAATTTCACTTAGCAAGGTAATTAAAAAGATGACTGTAAAGTAATAGTGTTATAAACATATCCATTGTGCTGAAATTAATCTATAAATTTGACATCATATAAAAGAATAGAAACAATTTAAAACATCAGCCATTGAAAAAGAACATGCAGAGGGCCAGCCAGATAGCTCAGTGGACTAAAGTGCCTTGTTAGGCAGAATGCAGAGCCATGGTTCAATCCCCTGTGTTCCCTGCCGGCCCTGCCCATGGGGCGCGCTGAATCGGTGATTGAGTTGGCCGTGGTGGCACACACCTGTAATCCCAGCGCTTGGGAGGCTGAAAACAGGAGGATCACTACAAGTCTGATCTACGTAGTGAGACCCTGTCCTAAATACATATATAAAAGAAAAAGAAAAAGGACAGTACAATGAAGTGGTGGTCCGTGCAGGCCCTGTAGGGAGTCTCCCTAGCATTGGAACTGAGCCCTGCATCTTACAGAGTTCTCTTGCGTCCCTGTCTGCTCAGCGTCACACTGGGGATGGGCAGGTACCAGCAGTTCCTGTAGTTACTAAGTGACTCACAAGCAAAAATCAGTTTCCCTTTCCTGTGGGAAGAACGAGGGCTCCTTTAAAAATGATTGATTGTAAGAGGGAAGCAAGAAATATATGTGAAAAGCCTAGAATATTGTGTCATCGCAGAAAACAAAACAAAATGCTTCTAAGGACTGCTGAAGCAATATCGAAAGGACAGACACAGTGTGAAGAGTAGCCCCTGGTGAGTCTCCTAGTGGCCAGGTATGGGACAATGTACATGTAAGACGAAATGCAGCTAAGTAACTACTTTCCTTTTCTATGCTGTAATAGATAGTCAGCAACAGAATAGTTTGATTTTAAATTTTTATTTTTTACTAACGGTACTTCATTAGTTAATTACGGTTTTCTTTGTGACACTGCGGATGGAACTTGGAGCCTTGTACACGGGCAGACACTACCACTGAACCACAAGCCCAGCCCTATTTTTGAAGTTTTATTGATTGATTGATTGATTGATAAAATGTTCTTTATTTTAATTTTTTATTATTAGTTGATTGATTTGGTACAGGGTCTCACACGGACTCACAGTGATCCTCCTGTCTCAGCCTCCCCAGCGCTGGGATTACCGGCATGCACCACCATGCCTGGTTTCAGTGGCTTGCCCAGAGTTCAGGCTGGTATGATACGTGGTACCACTGGGGATCGAAGTCGGGTCCTTGCATTTGCTGGGCAGGTGCTTGGACTGCCGAGCTGTCTCCCCAGCCCAGTTTACTTATTTCTAAACAAACATTAAAAAACCCCTTTAAACTTCAATAATTTTTTCATAAACTTTAAATTTAAAATATTTTTAAGAAGATGAAATACATTTCAACTAAAAAATATATTTTTTTCAGGATGAAGTTCCTGATGGAATTAAATCTGCGAGCTACAAGGTATGTATGTATACTTTAAGGTATGTATGTATACTTACTGATGTATCCTATATCATAAAAAAAATTTAAAAGAAAAATTTCCCCTGCTACATATTACTCTTATTACTCTGCTTCCCTTTCTAGTAATATCCCTTGACAATTATTTATTTTCAATGGCTCTAATTCTTTTTTTTTAAACCTTCTGTTACAGTAAGTATCAAAAATAAAAGTAGAGAAAAAACTCCAGAAATATATACTTCTTATCCAGCAATTATAATATAATCAAAATTGCTTTAGCTGTACATCCTATTTCATTTTTCCAGTTATTTTAAAGTGAATTTCAATGGCCAGCCAAATAGCTCAGTGGATTAAAGCACCTGCAAGCAGGCGCAGGGGCCAGAGGTTCAATTCCCAGGCCTGCTATGCCAGTTCCACCCCCCGGGCACGCTGAGACAGCAATTGAGACTGGGCGTGGTGGCATGTGCCTATAATCCCAGCTCTTGGGAGGCTGTAAACAGGAAGAGCACTACGAGTCTGATCTAGTAATGAGACACTGAACACCCTGTAGACCCTTCCCTAAAATTTTTTTTTAAAAAAAGTGAATTTCAAGTAAATTGTTTAAATTTTTTTTTAACCCAAACCACATACATCTATGAGACAGAAAGAAGGGACTGGGGAGATAGCTCAGCAGAATAAGCACTTGCCTGGCAAGCACAAGGGCCTGAGTTTAATCCCCAGTTCTGCCAAAAAAAAAGGAATAAAGAATTCTTAGTTAAAAAACAAAACAAAACAAAACAAACAAAAAAACCCAGAAAGATACTTAAAATGCCCATAATCAGGGATTGTGTTTTCTCTGGCTCTTCCCATAAATACCTGGGGGGG